TTGAGCCACAGGTGCCACCCACCTCTGCTACTATTTTAACATAAATCCTAGACATAATTGTGTAAGCAGTGAATATATAGCATCTTCAAGGGATAATTCTATAGCATTATTACCACAATACTGTTTTCATACATAAAAGTTCTTTAAATATCTGATGTCCGTATTTCTCCAGTTGTCTTAGTATCTTTTAAAAATGTGTGCCTGAGCCTGTGGTGGCTCAAGCCTGTGATCCTAACACTTGGGAGGTTGTGGGTGGATTGCTTGAGCTCACAGGTTCAAGACCGGCCTGAGCCAGAGCCAGTCCCCATCTCTAAAAATAGCTGGGCATTATGGTGGGTGCCTGTAGTCTCAGCTACTTGGGAAGCTGAGGCAAGAGAATCGATTAAGCCCAAGAGTTTGAGGTTGCTGTGAGCTGTGATGCCATAGCACTCTACTGACGGTAACATAGACTGTCTCAAAAAAAAAAAGTGTGCCTGTGTGTACACACAATACGCTGTGTATGACATGCATATATGCTCGCATATGTCACACAGATGCACAGGTATGTGTGCATGTACACAAGTGTTCTATGTGAGACGTGCCACACATGCACCTGCACACACACATGTATACAAGGCACACTCACGTAAAAGGCATGTACACATACCTCCACGCATGCCTGCCTGTGTACACACACACTATGGGTCTGAGTCAGGACCCAGACAAGGTCTTTGCTTGCATTTGGTTGGTTTATGTTAAGTCTTTTAAAATGTCTTAAGTTTCTACTTTTTTCTGACCATGTATCTGTTGAAATAGAATCATTTATCCTGTAGACTCCCCGGCCTGGATTTTGCTGAGTGAGTCTCAGACTGTTTAACATCTGTCTCTCTTTTTTTCAGTTTTTGGCCAGGGCTGGGTTTGAACCCGCCACCTCTGGCATATGGGACCAGCGCCCTACTCCTTTGAGCCACAGGTGCTGCCCTAACTTTTGTCTCTTGTACCCTGTAACCTGGCAGTGAGGGCTGGTTGTATTTAATTTTTTTTTTTTTTTCATTTTTTGGCCAGGGCTGGGTTTGAACCCACCACCTCTGGCGTATGGGGCCGGCACCCTACTCCTTGAGCCACAGGTGCCGCCCAAGTTTGTACTTAATTTGATAGACACCTTTTGAGTTCTTTAAATGAGCCTGTCAGGAAACATGCCCCACTAGGGTCCCTGCATGTCATTCCAGAGACAGGTGTGCTCCATCTGGGCATGTCCTGCTCTCCTACCTGTGAAGGAGGCACAGTGGGACCAGGGGTGTTCCCATGCAGATGCACCATGCCCGGCAAGGGTGCCTTAGGGTCAGGGTAGGTTCCAGTAAATGAGAAGGGCTGGCTGCTTAGTTGCCAAAAACAGAGAATCGGGACAAAAGTCCAGCAGTGTCACCCAGAGAGCTGGGATAGAACACTAGCTGCCCTCGGGTGGCCGAGCCTTCCCTGCCTTGCCTGGCAGGCACTGCTGTAGAGGTGAGAACACCGTGCAGACTTTATGGAACTCAGTGAGTGAGGGGACTGTACAATGTTACAGCCGGTTCCTTGTATCATACTTTATATAGGCAGAGGAACACTGGGACCAACTGCAAATAGGTTCTAACTTGGCAAAAATGGTCAAACCCACCAGCCACATTACACAATTTAGAATTCTAAAATAGCATACCACCTGGGCTGGAGAGAAACTGGAAGGGCGCCTTAGATTAAATAACCAGAGATTATTATTTTTCATATTTCAAGGTCTCTCAATTTTTCCTGACTTACTCTTCTCTCAAAAGGTTGGAATACAGGAGAAGGGAGGGTTCAAATGTGGGCTTTTGGCGTGGGAAATACCAGAAGAACGTGGATGACCCTGGGAGAAGAGGCCTGCAGATCAGACAAAAGCTACCTGGGAGCTTCCTTGTTCAGTGTGTGGGGGGTGTGGTGCCAAGGCCTCCAGTCCCCTGGATCTTGGCACTGAGCTCCAGGCTCCAGTGCTTATCTGGGTCTCTGTCCAGTCTCCCCTAAATGGCCCCCACCAGGCTTGTGGTTTTAATGTGGCTGATGTGCTGAGCAGGCTGTTTGTATCAGCCCCATGCCCTGCAGCCAGGCTCACACCTCAGTTGGACCCACCCCCACAGGCTCCCCTGCGGGGGACTAGACCCCTTGCAGTCTTCCTTGATGCTGTCTGACTCCTTTGCTGTCATCAGCAAATCCTGTTGACCTTGAAGACATCTCTAGAGCTGACTGCTTCTTGATACCCACACAACTTGCAGCTGTTCGCACCACATCCTGCACTATTCCAATCTCTCACCCCTGCCACAGCCTGTCAGGGGATCTCCCAGCTGCCATCCTTGCCCACCAGACTGTCCTTACTGTGGCAGCCAGGGGATGCTCTTCAAGCCCATTAGGTTCTGACTCTTCCAGAGTCTCTCCTTTGTTGAGACCAAAGCTAAAGTCCTTGCAATGGCCCCCACGGGTCACTGGACTGCAGCTCCTCCCTCCTCTCCTCTCCAGCTTTACTGCCCCAAATGGGCCACACCATGCTCATGCCAGGCTCAGGGCCTTTGCACTGGCCTTAGCGCTGCATGTCTTCCCTGATGTCCTCAGGGCCCCATTTCTCACCTCCTTTGGTCTCATAGACGCTTAGACCCATTTCTACTGAACCTTCCCTGACAATCTATGAAAAATCGCCCCTTCCTCTGCTCACTGCAGAGATCATTCCCATCAGACTCATTGGCTAAGGCTTTGGAATGGTCTAGAATGAGCTCCTTGGGGCAGGCAGTGTCTTTCTTCAGTTCTCTCACTGCCGTTGCAGAGCCTGGCCCCAGACAGTAGGGACCCAATACTTAGTTGTTATTTTTTTTTAGACAGAGCGTCAAGCTGTCCCCCTGGATAGAGTGCCATGGCATCACAGCTCACAGCAACCTTCTTTTTTTTTTTTTTTTTT